AGCTCCATAAAGGTGCTGCAAATAGAAACCTGACAAACTGTTGTCATATGTAACACTCGAACATATTATTCTCTAAATTGGACCAGTAATTAATAGTGTCATGGCTTAACAGTCAAAGGTCAGAACACCCCTAAACTAATCCGGTAAGTGGCTTTGCTGAGTCCATACTTCACAGACTACAATAAATGCCATGTTATGACAAGAAATCAACCTCCACAATGTCTAGCCAAGCGGCATGCGCACTTCGTGCAGCTAGTGACTCCAAAATGGCATAAGACCATCAGAAGTGAAGATCTAACAGAAAGATGTTTTGTGACACATTTCTCTAGTTTCTGGGAAACTAGAGGCATTTAGATAATGAGCATTGCCTAGACTTGCTGTGCTGTGCAGTCAGTCTGCCTGCGCCTGGTCTCATTCCTGGCTGCTCCTGGCCTACCGACTGAACTTCTTGGCTTGACCTCAAACTTGCCTCACCATTTTGCTTGGCAAGCACTGGATTGTTGTCTGACACTGGCTACTGTCACCAGACCTGCTTTGTTCACCTTGTTTGGGTGCTTTGGGCCTGCACCCATGTTGGTGAGGTCTCTGCCCTGCCTGCCTTGGTCCAGGCTCCCCCTCGTTTGCAGAGCAGCCCATGCTTTCTGCTTCGTGACACCCAGTGTGCGTGGTGGGTGAGAGAGGATGCCTCCAGCAGCAAGCTGACAGAGCTGTTCAAGTCAATGAAATGCAGTTATCCGAAATGAGGAGAAAACCTAAGAAATTATTACAAACACTCAAGTAGGAAGACGCTACCATTCAGTAACTGAGGCAAGAGCTGCAAAAGAAAAAAACCCAGACTCCCACTAACTGGACTGCGGAGAGCAGACTGGATTATTTGCTGGGGAGAGAGAGATACAAACCTTGCTTGCCTTTCATGTCATCAGAAAGTGTCCTTCCATTGCGACTGGAACAGGGGCAAAGTATTATTTGATAGTGGAAACTTCTGGCTGTCTTCAGGGGAGACCTAACTCTTCAAGGAATAATTTACTAGTACCATTTAAGAAATTGAATTCCTGTTCTGTGAAAATTTATTTATTTATGTTAAATCAATAAATGAAGTCAGCATTTCATTTTATTGCTGAACAGAAATTATATTTAAAAAATCAGTATGGAAAAAGGAAATATTGTTAATGATATTGAACTGTTTCAGTTTTGAAGTAGTGTTAATGACACCAAACAATATTAAAAATAATATAGTATTTAAGTATTTCATAAAAAACAGAAGTAAAAATAAATACAGTGCTGAACTTAGAACTAGAGAGTTACCTTCTCAGAATGTTGTTATCAACATTAGCAAAAGACAGTGAAAAGTGATTCATTTTTTACCTTCTCAAAAAAAAAAAAAAGAATCAAAACTGACACTTCCTACCAAATGTCTGCATTTGGACAAAACTGCATTTTCCAGTGTCGTCACTTTTTACCATCTTTCTCTGCAGTTGAAGAACCACCCTGATTTTTATCGCAGCAGAAGGAGAGCTGACAAATAACTTTCTAGTAGACATTGATGCCAGCACTGATTTATTCTGTGACAACATAGGCACTCTGCATTGTATGCAATCTACTGTACCTCATCTGCAGTTTATATTTTGCAAATTCATTTTTGGAAACCACCTCTTACAAAGCCCATCAGCCACACAATCCAGCTTTGTCACAGTGCTGCATCACCTCACAGAAAAGTTAGCATGGGCACATCACTTCATCCCTTTTTCCCCCTATTTTTTTTTACCCTCAGCACCTGCCAAATCAACAATCCATCAATTTAGGGCTGGGAAAGTGAGTTCAGAGTTAAGACTATGAATAATGCACACAAACAAACAATCAATGCTAAATATGTATAATTTGGCTAAAATACACAGACAGACAGACCAACCAAGTGCTTGGTACTTGCAGACAGGTACAGACACAATCTGTGCAGTACTGTAAAAACAACTGTCATCTTCCTTACCCTCTGATGGTTCCACATTACATAAATGGAGCCAGCCAAATACATTGCAGTATGGCTCTGAAAAGAACAAAAGTATCTGAAGAGTCTCAGCACAGCCTGGCGGGTAAATTGTGCAAATACACCAAGTCCTTCCACAGACTGCATCGACCAGCACAAGTTCTGGGTGGCCCTGGGGTCTCAGTAAACTTCCAGGCAGGGTCAGGATATCTTAAAGTGTGATCTCCAAAAACAGAGACCCCCGACTGCTAAAAAGTCTAAAATAGTCCAGATTAAACTTTGTATTTCTTTTTTTCTCTGAACGTTAAAGACAGTTATGCTTAAGCCTACATTAGCATCACAAGCCAGACTAGCGTGCACCTGTGGGATTCAAGAGACAAGCCAGCTGTAAACAGTTATCTGCCTATTCCTCTGAAAAATGTTTATCCTGTTAGTTTCACAACTCTGGTAACACTATGTATTGCTGATGCTGATGATTCTGAATCTGAGTACATAATTACTTAATAATACCCTGTTGTATTAGGGTTAATACAATGAGGCTATTACCTTACAATACCTTTTGATATCAAGTTGCTTGCCTGCACAGTTATTTTTTTCAACCCAGTAAAGAGATCTTTTAGTATAAAATTGCTTAGTACTTTTGCAATTATCTTCAATTGCACTGAAAAGAAAGACTGACCTATATGGCTGTTACAAATCTGTTTAGTTCTACTTTGCCGTGTCTTTGAAATATATTGCAGCCCATTATTCTTCAGACACTTACCATTTTTCTGAAGTAGAGCTGATGCATATCAAAATGCGCTATACGCTGAAACTGAGCGGCTCCTTTTCTTGCAGTTTGGTTTCCCCTGGCCTAAAATAAAGCTTTGAAACTGAACAGCTCCTTTTCTTCCAGTTTGGTTTCCCCTGGCCTAAAATAAAGCTTCCTGGCCCTTGGCAAATGTTTTTACGTATGGAAAAATAGCTGTAGTACAGCTGTAGGGAGCCCCGCAGGGAATTGCCGACATTCTTTTAGAGGTGATCTGGAGAATGTACAAAGTTAAAAAATTTGGGCTTGTACAAAAGCAAGATGCCTTGTCTACGAGATAAGCATTGCTACTGCAGCGTTCTCCTAAGGAATGTTCAATAAAGGATATAATGTCCAGCTTAAACGAAACTCGTGTGTTGAGCCACTATTCTTTGCTCCGTACATTCCTTGCCTTCTCAAACAGATGGTTCGCGTTGTTAATATTGTACTTCTCAGTCACAAGCTCGCTCTCCAGCAACGCCTGTGCTGCGATTTCGCTCAGATTTCCTGTTTGGTTGCTCAGCGCCAAAACGGCCGCTTTCTCCGCGCCCCTCCCCCCCCCCCCGCCCCCCCCCCTTTTTTTTGTCCCGGCGTGTCGCGGGCCGTTAGCGGGAGCTGCCGGAGGCGGTGAGAGGCTCCTTCTCACCTGCCCCCCCGCCCCTGGCTCCACGGCACACCGCTGTCCCTCCTCCAGACCCGCTCTCGTATCCCTCTGCTACAAACCCTGTGCCAGCACGCCTTGGACTTTTGAAATTCAAATAACTAAATACAGAAGGGAAAAACTCCCCTCTGCCCGGCTCTGCTAGGGAGTTCCCAAAAGCAGTCAGCACTTCTAGACTGTGTTAAGACAGACTCCCTAAATTGTCACATGGCGATTTCATGAGATTTAATTGTACAAAGTGTTATTTAATTTGAAAATAATTAAAAACGAAGAGCTCAGCTTATTCCATGGTGACTATAAGGAACATTACTCCAAAAGTGGTTTACACTAGGCGCCTGAGGAGAGTTGTAATGAGAGGCTCTGTTTCTCTGATTAGGCTAATGGAGATGGGCATTAGGCAAAATTTAATACAGTTCAGAATTTTTCTGAAAAAAACGTGTGCGCAAATCAAGTGTCAACCTGGTATGCACTTTTTAAAAAATATATAGTCAGGAGAACACTACCGTCTCTCTAGGAAACAATTCAAGCAAAATAAAATCCTCCAGAATTTTTACAGCCAAAGTGTTGCAGGAACTTAATGTGGAACTGCTTTTTAAGGACTATAAATGTATGAAAGTCCTCGGATTTATACAAGATGAAAATTTAAGCCTAACTGTCCTCTCATTTGGGAAGCATTTGCAGTTATTCCTAAAAGTGTGACCAGTATCTGTTTTGACACTGTTACATTAAGTAGCTGCACTGAGCTCTTTATTTACTACGTGAAATAGCTACAGAGGCTTCATGATGACCAAAACTACAAAGAAGAAGAAAAAGAAGTGAAGCGTCCTCAGTCATCCAATGAACGCCTGTCAGTTGATTTGCATCCTAGGCCCCTTATCTTTTTGATCTCTCAAGCTGTGCTACGTTTGCAATTTTGACATGTTCCTCTAAAAACGGCCAACAGCTTTTAGGCCTAGAAGTTTTTTTTACATTATCTTCACGTTTAGTTTCAAGTTTTCTTTGATATCAGCTCTCCCCCTCAGCTTTGTTAGTTCATCATCTAACTCCGCTTTAGCTGAAGAAGAAGTTCAGCTCACCATTAAGGAGTCCAGCAGCCTGGGGGTGTGTTTGGTGCCACTTAGCCAAGCACAACAGCTGAGGAAGCGCTTAACTGTGCTGTAGGTGTGAATAAAACATTGGGTCTAGGTCAACTCCAAAATTAAGTTAATGTTTTAATCAACTGTGTCTATAAATGTTGTTTACAGGGCTCTCTAAATACTTTCAGCTATATTTTGTAAAGAGAGATTAGGAATATGCAGTGGTAAGTTAGAAGCCCTAAGTCTGTTCAGTGACTGTACTTCTAATGACTTCAAGGAACAGAAGAATAAGTATTTTCATCTGTAATGACAGGATTATAACAGTTACTACACACAGTTTTATAAAAATTAAATAGTGTGTTTTTCTACTGAAAACATCATGCATTGGCTATCACAGGATTTTGTGCATTTAGAAAAAAAGTTTACACAGTCCAGAAGAACAAAATAATTTCCACTGTTTCAACTATTATCCTTTTTGTTTATTTTAAAAATGATAAGCTAAAATCCAGCAGGAAATAGTAAAATTATCACAATAGTAACATACAAAACCTCATCATTCAAAAAAAAAAAAAACCCCAACTCTCTAAAATCTACAATGTTTGAAGGAAAAAAAGCACACACTGTAAGTTGCACAAGACTTCTCAATGCACAGACAGTTTCAGGAAAGTACTCTTTTTAAATTACAGAATATAAGAAACAGATGTGCCAGCGCACAGTATTTCAAGCTCTCAAAGTCTACTCAATGCATTTTCTATCAGAATTTTTGCAATCATTCAGCATGCCAGTCTCCAGACTTTCTTCTTTGAGTCTAATAGTGAGATCTCAGATGAATTTATGTGGAGCAATAAGGACATCTTGAGGCAAGTTAGAAAAACGCAAAGCTTATATTCCACGTTGATTTCAAAGGATGAAGGGCCAGATGCTCAATAAGTCTGACTTCCTTGGAATTGATACACAGTGTAAATGATAAGCATTTAAGATTGCTTGGCAAAGTTATACAAGTTCCACAGAATTTGATGAAAGCAGCGCTTGCTAGGCATTCCTGAAATTCTAGTATATACTCTTGCCCGTTAGGTTAATTTACTTGCTAGTAGTTTTGAAGACAGACCTGTATTTGCAACACACTAAATTTGGTGTTCTGAGTTCTTTTTTTTTCCTCCTTATTACAAAAGTGAAAAAAGAAATCCTTCCCACTGCTCAACATGAAAACATAGTATTACACTGTACATATTTTTAAAAGTATAAAATAGTGAAAACATTTTTTTGAAGTATTAAATGCAAATCTACACAAAAAAAAAATGTTCACAGTTCTCTGTCATTCTCTACTTTCAAGTATTGTCTCAAATCTGTACCTTTGAAAAACTGATATAATAGTAAATACTTTCCAAAAATGGTAGGAAGAAGAAGATTTCACATTCTTCCTATTTTGTTTAAAATTTTTTGCACATGACAATCAACACATGCATATTTTTAATATAGCCTCTAAGTTAAAACTGGAGTTGTGGGACCATTTGTAGAGCTTTCTGTTTCTTTAGTGATATCTGCAGCTTTAGAATCTTCACATGCTTCAGAAGCCCCATTTCCCTCTGGCATTGAAGGGGTAAGATCAATAGTGATCAAATCAGCTTCCTGATCTTTTTTTTCTACTTCATTGCCAAATGCAGCTTTATCTTCCTGCTGGCTGTTCTTCTTTATTTGTCCATTCTGTGCAGGGAAGATGCTGGCAATGGTATCATACAGAAATTGATAATGTTCCTAATATTAAAAAAAAAAGAGAAGAGATTAGGATGAATGCAATGTCCAGTATCTGAGAATGAGCAGTTTCTTTCTTGCTTTTATTAAATCTTGGAAATGCTGCATTTAGTTGAGCATGGAGAATCACATATGAAGTGGCTTCCACAGCTTTTGGCCTACAGGGTGTTGGTTCTATGGTTTAATTCTAATTTCACATTTATGTAATGCCTCTGTAACTGCTTATATCAGACGTTCTCAATTAAGAGTCACTAAGTACCTCTTGGTTTAGAAGGCAAAGTACCAAAAATATGTTTTTCAGAGTATCTAAGCTGTAGTCAGCTTATATTGTAAGGACTCAGGGACAGTCCTCTACTAATTTGCCCCACATTGATCAAACCTAGTTGGTTTGTTGGATGGTAAATCACAGCGTACGCCACAGAGAAGCAGCGTTTTGCAATCAAATAAATTGATGGCTCCTAAGCTGCCAAATGAATTAGGCTTTCAGCTCTGCAGAAGTTAAGGGGCACTGGGTATGTCAGTCCCCTAAGCAACTGCAGAAACCTTAACTGATTCAATTTATAATTTTACAACATGTATCCTTCCACAAAAATATTACAGAATTGCAGCTCTGCACATCTCACAGATTCCTTCATTCTCATCGATAATGGCCAATTCCTAAGTACT